GTCACCAGACCTCATAAGGTAACTGTGATCTGGGAAAGAGTGTTAGGTCCCAGAAGTCAAAATTATGCCTTAGGAAAATTCCTATGACTCAGACTGGAGAGAAAAAGAATAAATACTTATGAATTAACTCAACTCCTTAATTACACATTTAGGTAAGGGAAGAGAGAAAGAAAAAGTATAAATGAAAACACAGTTAACATGGTTTTATTTGATATTTGCTAAGTATCCAGAAGAATTTCATGAGTGAGAAGATGGAATGAGTTCAAGAAAAATAACCTGCTGGAGGATTTAAGAGCAGCTTGCCTCTAAACCTCCTGAACTAACATATATTCTTGTCTCAGGTCATTCCAGTGGAAAGCTGAGAAGAGATTTGTGTCATGATAAGGTTGTATTAATCCAGAGAAACATTTGTTCACATGTTATTTTTTCTGCTCTCTTGGAAAATTAACAAAGCTTTATTACAAGTTGACACCAACTGTTTCCCATATTAAAACAAAAGCAGGGTTATGCTGCAGATGAACACTGCAGATGAATCAATATTTCTGTATGGTGTAGCTTATTACTGAGAAGGTAAATATATATCAATGAAATATTAAAATACCCTGCAAACCATTTAAGTGTTAAAACCCATCAACATCCACTGCTAAACCAACTGGGCTCAATCAGGTGACCTCAGTAAGTTACACCATGTAAACTGGTGACAAATTTGGCATACGAACTATGAAAGAAACCTCCTTTTCCCATCATAATTTCTTGAGCATTCTCTCATGTGGAGATGGGGAAGGAACACAAAGGAAATGTCTTCCCCTCTCCAAGCCCCAAGCTGAGCAGGGAGCCCACCAGCTCCTGCTCCCTTTTCCAGGGGAGTGAATCTGGCTGATGCTTTGGGTGAGCACAGATCAACAGCTGGGGCAGGGCAGGGGCTGAAATCTGGTCTGTACCAAAATATGACATGAGCAGGTGACCCATAACTCACTTACAAGTTCATAAAATTAACAGCACTTCCCAAGTTATGAAGTTGAGGAGGAAGAAGAAAACATGAAATCCTCAAGGCCAGGTACTAAGCAAGTAAATATTAAGAGCATGCACTGAAGGAACATCTGGAGATCATTTAGTTCATCCTCCTCCTCAAAGCAACAACATTATTAGGTTTGGACATATCCTGGAGTGGACTTTCCACAGCCTCTTTGGGCTCCAGTTCTTAATCATATTTATGGTAACACTTTTTTCCATGCACGTCTTTACACTTTCCCTTGATGCAACTTGTCTCTGACTAATAGCCCTTTTGCTGTGCACCTCCAAGACATACCTGGGTCTGTCTTCTCCTAATTAGCCATCAGTTAATCAAAGGAAACAATTAGCTTCTTCCTTTGCCTTCTCTTTCCCTGGCTAAACAAAGCTCTGCCCCTTCTCAGTACCTCCACCCCATCTCTGGGCTCCTCCCCTGGACTTGCTCCAGCGCACCAAAGTCCCACTGCTGCTGGAGATCCCAACCCGGATGCAGCATTCCAGGTGCAGCCCACAGGCACCAGGGAGAGGCAAGTGCTCACTTCCCACGACCTGTTAGCAGTGCTCCTGCTAATGCAGCTCAGCAGGAGCTCCTCTCCTTGGCATGGGCTCACTGCTGACCCACGTCAGTGACTGCTGGAACACAACTCAGGAGTGAACACATCCCATGCACATCTCACTTCTGAGATGTTCCCAAGGAGGTGGGTGAGTGCTTGGAAACTGTCCTCCCATAAAGGGGATTATATAAAAACAGCAAGGGCACAGTGATCTACAGTGTGATCTCCAATGGAAGTGATGCAACATGTCAATGGAGCTAGAAAATTTAAATACATTAAAAACTAACAGTGAAAGTATTTTATATTTATATTTTACAGATGTTTAGTAGTTTCTTTTCAAAATCCCCCCCCCCCTTTTTTAGGTTTATCTATTTTCAGATACACATTAGCCATAAAAAAAAAATAATTTTGAAACATTTGATTAAAAAATTATTGTGCTAGGTTCCTTTATTTTCCTTTCTTTTAAAGAGAAAATAAGCTGAAGCAAGTATTATCCTGAGTACCTCAGCCTTGGAGATTTTAGAACTAGCAGATCTCAGGATCTCACCTCATTTTAATACAGGAAATTTTTTTTTTTTCTTTTTCAGCTTGCTTGTGTTTTCCTTTTCAAATAAAGTACGTATTGACTAGAGTAAATTTAAATTAAGAGCAAGATTTTAGTGGTGTGTTATTTCCCCAAATGCTTATTCTTAGTTTCAGACATTTAGCAGCAGCTTCCCACAGACCAGTAATTTCACTATTTTAGAATCTGTCAGCAATCACTCATTCTGTGAAAGTAATTTTAATTTAACTGACATTAACTGCAACTGATTAGAGTAAATGTAGGAAGTATTATAAACGACCATAATTTAAATAAAGATTTTATTTCTATATATGCATCTATGTAATTGAAATCAACTATAAACATATATCTATATATGCACCTATGTAATTGAAATCAACAAATCTCAAAAGATAAAACAAAGTTAATTCATGCACAGCAATATTTTCTCTTTTCTAAGAAGTGCAAAATGACTAGAGCAAATCTGCTGCAGGAACCTCATATTAAACTATGATGGCTCAGAAATGCACATTGGAACACATGACTAAGGTACATTTATTAACTACTAACTTTTTTCATTTGAAGAACTTCTCTACACAGAAAAAATCCTGCAGGTTCTTATTTCACATTGCAATGCCTCCCTGAAGTTCATATTAGTCCAATGTTGGTCTTTAAATTCACACTTTACCTATTCTATGCTGGCTTTCCTGTGAGCATCACAGGTAGTCTGTCCTTGAGAGAGAAACTGGCCTTGTTTCCCAGGGCTATATGAGGGCAGATGGAGTGGAAGTGGATGCTCTACCCCTCACGATGCTCTGCCCAACAGAAGTTTTCCATAGGCATATTTAACTTCAGCACCCCTGCAGGAAGCCTTCAGGATGTTGAAATTACCAGGGACAGCCTGGGTCTATTTTTTAAAGAAAATGATGTGTACAAACCAATGGCTGTGTCTAAAAATTGTTCTCGAGGTCAGTTCAGCCCTGTCTTTCATCCAGCTGTGAGGGATGGCTGCTGGGCTCTGTGCAGCCAACACATCTTCAGCATTGAAAAGACCTCGATGAGAGTTTGTAGGGGGGAGACCCACTACAAACACTATTGCTCTGGTAGCCTCCTTGCTGCCCTTCTTCCTTCACCCTTGGATCAAACTGGGTTCACCAATGCAGGATTCACCAGTATAGGATTCACCAATAGGGTCTACTGCCCTGGGCTGAGAACAGGCCTGTGAGCAGGGTTTCCTACTGCTTCAGGGGTGATGTCTAGTCAGGACACTTAACCCTTTCTATTCATATGTGGAAAAGTAGTTACTGCAAACCTGGATTTTGGCATAAGAGGAAAAAATATAAGAAATAATTGCAAAGAAAATATTTTGTTACTTAAAATTTAACATCTTAGTGTCTAACAGTCTAAATTACTTCACTGATCTCCTTTAGTTTTTATAAAGCATTCAGATTTTCAAATTTAATCTCTGTTTACAAGAGCAGTGGTTGAACTCCTGAAAACACTGCCCTTGGGTGAGACTGCGATATTGTGTATATCCCTTCAAAAGTGGCTGCATTTAAGGAGCATGTGCGACGTAAGAACCGTGACAGAGGACCCGAGCAAGGATGTGACAGCCGAAACATTAATCCAGTCCAATCTGTGATTAACCGAGAATTGCTGTAACCCTACACTCCACAGGGGGCGAAGGGGCAAGGCAGGGCCGGAGCCTTTCCCCAGGCGGGCTCTCGAGCTGGCCGAGCAGAGCGCGGCCTGCCCGGGCCAGGCACCCTGGGTGGCGCGGAGCGAGCGGGCCCGGCCCGGCACAGAGAGGCCTTTGTGCCCTCGCTCCGCTCCGCAGAGCCGGCCCAGAGCTCAGCCAGGCCCTCGGCTGCCGGCAGCGCTCCGAGCAAACATCTGAGGGGAAAGCGCAAGTGCCTGCCTGGGAGAAATCACCTCACACTTCTGCGGGGAGGTGTGTGCGGACGGGGATGGACTGCAGGGACGGCACGGCAGGCACAAGCCGCTGCCTGGGGCCCCCAGCGTCTGCCCCAGCGTGGTTGGAGGTGGTGTCAATGAGAAGGATGCACATCTCCCCAGTAAATCCATCTTCGTATGTAACCATAGATATTGCATTAATTCAGGATGGATTGAAGAGAATTTGGAGTCAGAATCACTTTTCTTAATTTAGCTCTCTTCCTGTGTGTGCACTGCAGAGATGCAGGTGTAAGCATAGTAGTCAGGGGTGCAGTAATTTCTGGTTTTATGAGCAGGCAATTAGACCTTTGTGTCAGAGTCAGGTGTTATACTGAAATCACTAAGGCTGCAAGAAGAAAAAGTGATGCTTGGGTATGGGTATCAGTGCCTGAATCCTTGCAGTGACCTGAAATAGGGAGTGTTTCTGGGAAAGGAGACCCTTCTATTAAAAGTGTTTCAATAAATATTAAAGAATGATGATTACTAAGCGTGCTGTTCAGTTGTTCATCCCAGCAAATGAATTCATGTGTAACCTTAGGAATAACCAGCTTGCTTTAGTAATTCTGAACTAGCCCAGTGAGTACAAGCTTTCACAGCTCAGAAAGATTCTCTCCTTTATTAACAATTATCACTGAACTATCTTGCATATTTATCAATGCACATGATCAGAGAAAAAGTAGTCATTTCATGTTATGGTTGAGCATGGGAGTTTTATGATAAGCTCTGTACTAAGACAGCAAATGTAGGACCGGGTCTTCAACACCTTGAATTTGACTACTGCATAGAGAAATTTGTCTGCTTTTCTTTGGCTCTGAAGATATTAACAACAGTGATCTTTTAGTTACCTTCACAGAGCCATACTCTTCAAATTCTTTTGACCCATAGTGTAAAATGCGTATTTCCCCGTGACACCTAGAAAACTGCAGTTACTTGTGGCTTACCTGTCCTGGTTGTTCACAGGCTGTCTGGTATCTTGCTTGCTGGCATAGTTCTTTTACTCTCTCGTACTTTGGTAGTTGATTAGACTGCTGAGTGTTTTTGTTGGGTTCCTCCTTCTTGCGTAGAAATTTGCTTAAAAAAAATAAAGTGGAGTGTTTTAGATACATTGTTCTAAGCCCTAAGGAAGAATTTAACTTGAACAGTGAAGCTACTTGAAGGCTTATGTCTTCTCAGGGAAAAAAATCCCCACATTTCTGTTACTAACTTTTGATGTAGGTCACATAGTGAAAAAAAGCCTCAGGTGACTGGCTGAAAATTGCCAGAAGATACATAAGTGCTGCTAAAATATGTCTAACTGGTACAGTTCAGCACCATTCATACATAAATGTAGGTTTTTACAAAAAGCAAAACTCTTTGAAGCAATACTTTCTTGGCTGGCAAACACAGCTGAAGACACAACAGGACTTTTATACTCAGCACAAGCTCGGCTGTATCTTACATATTACGATGTGTCTTTCATGCACTGCTTTGTAATACATCAGACAAAGTTTTCATAATCTGTAAAGTCATAAAATACCAAAAGGAAATTGCTGTAAAGTTTTTACCCAGAGAAAATTTTCACAGCAACAACTGGCCAGGTAAGAGGGTATAAGGAGTTATCAGCAAAGAGAGGAGCAGTTATAGTCATGAATCTCAATTACACATAAGTCCTAGCTAGAACAAAAATGAAGAATGCTTCTAATACGTTATGGAAAATACAAAATCGGCTGAGATTTGGGAAGAAAATGATTTGGATAATGACAAAAGTGAGAACAAGCAGTGTTAGGGAAAGAGGCTAGGAGAATCACCAGAAAAGCATGCTTTCAAATTTCTTCAGAGAAAGGGATTTGGGAGCACAGTAGATTGCAAAGGCAGTGGTGGGAAAGTAGGAAAAAAGTCATGCCTGTCAGTTTGCTTGCAAAATTTACTGCTTCTCTGACCATAAAAAGGAAGAGGAGGAAGCAGAAAGTAAAGCATGTACAAGGGAGTACTCCCAGCAGGCAGGCTCTCCCAAAACTCTCTCACCCCTAATAATTACCCTCTTTCCACTAGAAATGTGTCACGCCAAATTTTGGTCTTCTTGTTTGTTCGAAACCTGAAAGGAAAATAATGACATTTACTGCTGGCACTGAAGTACTCCACTGTGTAAGTGTTAACAAATTATTTTTGAGAAAAACAACTCCCCACTTATATATACACGCAATTTTATAGATCTACTACTTAAGACACTCTTGAAATGGGAAAGCTGTGGTCGTTGCCATGACACAACTCATTTTCACAGAATCTGTTTTTCCACTCAGCTGTTGATTTACTTAGGTGTTTGCTTTTGAACTGGCTAAAAAAGGATCCTGGGACCCACCTGTTTCCTGGTCTCTCCAAGTCCAGAAGCTTTAGGACAGATTTGCCATCCATATCTGGAGGTGTGTCAAGGCCTGCTATATCCAGAATTGTTGGAGCAAGATCAATATTCAGAACTATCTGAGGCACACTGCAAATCAACAGGAAAGGTCATAGTTGCCATGTGTTCAATGTGTAAGTCTTCACATTCTCTTGGAAATAGAATGATAATTAATGCTTATCAGGGCTTTGAAGATGTAGAGCTCTACAGAAGTGCTAAGTTTAGAAAACCCCCTTTGAAGTCTACAACTCAGAACGATAGGCCAGTACTGTAGACTGACATCACAAAGAAAAAGTTAAGCACGATTAAACAAGGAGGTGCAGCAGCAACACTGCTCTTATCTCACTGATAATGAGGGCATGATGCTAAATGACAGAGTGAGCAGTAAAGATGAGCACATAGTTTTTAAAAGCAAAACCCAAGTCTAACCTTACCAGGACTATGCATTACAGTTTTCTCATCTGAATTATAACTTATTCATAATATGCAAAGTGAAAAAGCTGCCTGTTTATGAGACTCATTGCTCTGCAATAATAGAGCATCCTTTATGAAATGAAACTAGACAGAGTGATAATTACATGTTCTCAGAAACATTTTACATTAGGCTCAACAGCTGTGCTAGAGGCATAAGGCAACGTACACTGATCCCGGCTCCACACTTGGACCACGAATAAAGAAAGGAACTCGAATATCAAAGTCATACGGCATTGACTTCCCCTTGACCAGTCCGAACTGCCCAATATGGTATCCATGGTCAGCAGTGTAAATAATGTAGGTATTCTCCAGTTCTCCCATCTCTGCAAGCATTTGGTGTAACTGCAACCCAGCACAGAAAGAACTCCGAGTTAAGTGTAGCAAAACATGTTTTGTGCAGAGTCGTGTATAACCATCATTTATAACCCTTAAATACACAGGACCAAACAGGGCATCAATGACACAGTTGACACAGATTCTGGGGACTGGCATTTGTACATCTTGCCTTTACTGTGCTGTGAAAAATCAACCTACCAGTTCAATTTTGCACTTGACAGAGGGGACAATTAAACAGCTCCAGAAAATTAGAATAGAAAAAATATGGCAATGATGGGGTAGTTGCCTTAGTATGTCCAAAATTCATTGTGTACTCAAACACAGCTTGTGAAAAAAGTCTGCTACAGCTTTAGGGGAAAAGGTACTAAGATTTGATTTACTGTGCTAGTCTACAACTTTCTCATTCCTTACAGTTGTGGGCTTGGGAAAAAGCTGTAAATTTTTATTGAAGTTTAAAGAAATCTCTCTAGGGGAAGATCTTTGGTCATGGTGCTTGATTTTGGAACAAAAAGTCATACAAAGTAAACCTAATAGTTCATGTATCATGTTACCTATAATTAGCAGTGCACTGCATTGCCTAACTTCTGCAAACACTTGTAGACTGACACCTGAGTTGCTGTGATTTGCCAGTTCCCAGATTTCAACTGAAGGACAAACTGTGAATGGAGTGTGTGAAATGAATAGAGGTTGTCATATGTGCACCTGTGTCTATCCATGTGTACACACAGGTGATGCATCTTCTGTTAACACCAGGCTTTACACTAGGCACAGTGACTTTTCCCTTTAAAAAAGCCCACTGTTTTTTTGACCCAGCAATTGAAAGAAGAAAGCCAGGAGCTTGGCCTCACGTTGCAGAGAACCAGAATTCAATTCCACTGGGAAAAAGTGGAGTGATTCCCATAGTATAATGACTTTCCCCAGAATGTGGTTGGTGAAGGTAAAGAAAGAATTAATTAATTTAATTTTGTTACGGACTAACAAGATTGTATTCACAGCAGTTTCTTGCACTCACTCTTTCCATAGAGTCATCAACTGACATCAGGGTCTGAAGTCTCTTGCGCTGCAGGACGTTGGTAAACTCCATGTGGATTGGAAGCATGGGCCCTGTGTACTGCATAATCCAGTGCTTATCCATGTTTGGTGCATAGTTGTAGCTGGGAGTTCTGGAGGAAAAGAACAGATCTCAAAAGCTGTGCAGTGTGACAGGCATCAGAGGGAGGTGGGAACTCCTCCAACACAGAAAGAGCCAACAAACAGTTAAATCACAAATTCCATGTGGTATCTGACAAATATCAACAAACATCACTTCAGTGGCTTTCCAGATTCATTGGGTCATGTATCACCGCCTCAAAATATTTTAACCACTTGCTTTCCAAGCTTTCTCTCAGACTCAAAGACCGCTACAAGTTCCACATTAATATTTGGGATTTGCCAAAATCTATTTCTCAAACAAACCTGTAATTATTAAAAAGGTTTATCTGAATGGTGCATCCCGTACAGATAAGAAAAATTAAGGAAGTTAGAGATGAAAAAGGACTGTTTACTTAATATTAAGGTATATTGCCCTGGTACTTCAGTAGAGAAATGACCTTTAAATAAAAGTCAAAGAAAGGTATTTTGCAGTGGGATAAAGAAATTTCGTAGTCAGCATAAAGAACACCACCAGTGTTACAGTTAGTTCTACGCTAAATGCTGTTGAAGTGTTATTTTCAACGTGAGTGCAAAGCACAGTGCATTACAAGCATAAAATGAATCATGACAACAAAACTGACCTAACACCACTGTTGATACTAGCACTAAGAAGAAGTATGGCACAGAGTCCTATCTAAAGCAAAGAATGATGCTTTAGGAGTTTGCACAAACATCAAAAGAAATATTTAGGAGAGGTGTTCTATCCACAGCCAGCGTATTTTTGAAAGATATCCTATAAGAAACAAGAATATTTTCCCAGAGATATCACCTTGGGAGAAAATGTGTGGCAAAAATGTGTCAAGTAAATTTTCTCGACAGAGACAAACATGTTACAAAAGCTCTCCATCATTCTTGTTTTTATGCCTAGCATACATGACAACTACAAGGTGAAGTGAAAACAAGCAATACCCATTTCCCATAATGGTTTCACCTACATATGAGCAGTTCCCTTCTCTGGAAAGAAGGAATCTAGGCTTTGTCATTTTCATTAAGTTGTTCGGGTTTTATTTCTCCCCTGTTTCTAGTACACTGCAGTACATGATACATGAACAGCAGCATTACATTTGAAAATTAAACATAAAGAGAAAGTGAAAAAAATACTGTTGGGTGATTAGATTAATTTGATTCTTTTTATTCTCTTTTCAGTTTACAAGAAAAATGAAATTCAATATTAATTTGCTGTTTAGGTACTGAAAATTATAACTCATGTGTTAACAAAAGGTACATTTTTCCCACCAAAATATGTATGTGTAGTTGTCTTTTCTTAAAATGAACAATATCAGAATACTGTATAACTTAGAGTCATAGACCAATCCTTCAGTTAGATTTCATTTTTCTTTACATGATTGTATGTGATCCCAGAATGGTGGAAGCAGTTGTTTTTTATATCAGATATCATATGTATAACCTTTAACTACATATTCTGAGGACAAAAATCAGCTGAAAGGATAACATGTTAAACTGATAGTCAACTTCAATAAATTTGTGGAGTCCACATTCTAACTGGAGAGCATTATTTGAGAAGTTAGGTAGAATTTGAGAAGTATGCCTTTAGTACACATAGCATGTTTTGACTAATCTACTTAATCATTAGTCTCAAGGGAAAAGAGAAGTGGTGCAACAGTATCATAGGAATTTGATAGAGATTAAGAAGCATGGAAAGGTTAGCTCCCTACTGAGCAAAGACAAGCATAAACTAGAATTCCTTTTCTGTTGAAAAATCTTTTATTTCATGTTGAAAAGTCATAGTTTTTATAATTTCCCATGGTTGAAGTCTGATTTTTAAAATGAATACTGTCATAATATTAATAAGATTTATGTCAGGAGTACAGCCCTCTGTGTTGCTGGCTAGCCAGCAGTCCTAGCAGAGGGAGACCCTTGAAGAAGCAAGCCTTAGGAATTCTGTCACCTACCATTTATCAGTTATCCAACAGAAAAGAAGGATACTTTCAGTGCAAATTTTTCTCTGTTGCCTTGGAAGTTTGTCAGACAAGATGCTTTCCCATGAAAGGGTTCATTTTTGATTAATCAGCATCTCCTAGTAAAACCCTGTTTTTTTTCCAGTGGGGTCCTGAGTGCCCCAGGCCCAGAGGGATGAGGTGGCTGAGAGCTGCGCTCCGCCGACAGCGCGGTGACAGCCTGCTGCTGTGCCAGGAAGGAGAGCCAGCTGCTGAGGCAGGCTCAGGTCTTGTGTTCCCAGGCTATTGTGAGCAGCCTCCTCCACATAATGGATAGTTTTAAAAAGCAGCACTCAAGGCTTTAGCAGGGCAGTTAAAACCTTTCACAGACACTTTCCAAATGCATTTTGAATTTTCTGGGTGAGAAATGCAGCAGGCAGAGAGACAGCAGAATTTTCCTCCCAGGCAATTCAAGGAACAGGAACCTTCTGTGAAATATCCAGTGTCACCGGCTGATGGATAAATGTGAAACAGGGGTCTATAATGTTGGAGAAAGAGTACTAAAGAAGAGACAGAAAGGAATTCCAAAACCCTGTACCTTGTACATGTTCAATGTCTACCCCTGTTTGCTAGGCCTTTCAGAAATCCACCAGAATGGCACTGGTTACCAGACACAAGATCTGACATTGCCCTCAAATTTATCTACCTTTTTTTTTGGTATAAATGTAACCAACCAACCAACCAAACACTGCAGACACAAATCTTAGGGAGAATACTGGTGACTTTTGAAAACTTTTCCATGTAGACAGAGCTCTTCATGATGAGTGATAATTTTTTATGTAACATTTTTTCTTGAAGCATCTGGAGATATCAGTTAAACGTTCAGCTGTTATAAGTCCTTGAAAGTCATTATGGCCTGGTATGTCACTGCTTCTGTTCCTCCAGTTTTGTCAATACTTGTCTGTATTGACAAGTACTCCTATAAAGTATCACTGACATCTACATTTCCTTGATTCCTCTTTGCACTGGAATATTGAAATTGAAGATGTGTGCCATGTCTTCCACGGCCTCCTCTCAGTTATGGAGTCCATCTTGTGCTGAGTACATTAGCTGATCCATTATCAGCACACAGTGCCTGGTACCCCATTATTTTCAGATTATCCATGGCCTCTGAATCTGGCAAGTTGCTACTTAGTACTTGTGATTCTTGTAGAATGGGCAAATCTAGATTGGTCTGTTGCTCACTTTTATTTGTCCAACACATACTGTGAGGAACTTAATACACAGAGACCACTTGGCACTCCCTAACAGATCTGTTCTGGCACTGGAAGACATTAGATTCTTAAAATTTTGAATTGATACCCTCAGGTTAAACTAACTAAAAAAATTCCAACCGTTATGTAATAATAACAAATGCTGAGCATAGGCACTTTTCCATGAAAGCATACTCATAATGAGAACATTTCACCCTGAGATTTAGTGATCAGTCACCTATGTGAATAAGTTTAGAGAGAAATTTGCTGTGATAATCAAGCGATCTATAAACTATGGAAGGAATAAAAATTCATAAGCATTAGTGCATTTTAAAAAAAAAGATTATCCACAAAATCTATAATTTGTCTGTAAACATCAGTTCAAGTAGATACTTATGTTGAGAGAAAAAGAGCAGTATTAGCAGTCACTGCTGTAATCAAAAGGCCTCAGTAACTCTCTCTGACAACACATTTACTATATTCATACATTTAAATTTGAACTTCTAAATTAAGAATGCATCTTATTTGGCTTTTAAGGTACCACAATAACTTTAATTTAGGCAAGAAACAATAAAAATAACCAACAAGCCAAAAAATGGATGCTTGTACTTGAGAATCTATTAAAATGGGGTCCCCAAACAAATAATTCAAAACCAAATTTCACTAGCTTCTACTAGTAATTGAACTGAATTGTTATATTCAATGAAATAAATGGAATACAGCCATTGTGCATTACTACAAAAAGATATTTTATAGTTAAGAAAGGATTGGGAGAGTACAGAATGTCTTAAGAGCTTCAAGAATTTAGTACAACTTTAAAGTAACATTTGCTTTCTAAAAAATTAATCTAAATATATACGTCTTTAACAGATGGGATAATGTGGAGAGAAACAAGTATGTTTCCAAATATTTGTTCAATTGCTCATAGTAAAAATCTGTGTTTGCCCCTATTTACAACCTCATAATTCCCTTCTGTTTCCATTCAACAAAAGAAATTATGTTCACAAAAATACTGCCTAAAAATGTTGGGTTTGAATAATTCCATAGAGTTCTCAGGGGGTTTGGTCCAAAAGGGTTTGGCTAATCTTCTGTTTGGGTTGTGAGTCCTCCAGTTAGTGAAAATAATACAGTACATAGATACCAAAAGAACATTTTCATTTCATAAAAATAAAAGTCAACAACATTTTAAAGTAATACCTTTGGTAAAACTGATTGAGAAAAATTAATAGTTTCTGTACGGAATTGGCACTTCTATTATTCTTTGAAATATGATTAGCAAACATGGCAGAAGTAGGCATGTTTCTTCAAGTGAAAATAAACAAAGGAAGCAAATTCTTTGTTTCCAGGGAAAGTAGACTTCCAGGTTTAGACACTGTTCTTGGAAAGCAGGAAGCCTAGGTTTTGGGCAAAACTAAAAGTAAAAAAAACCAAACAAAACCAAACCCACAACCAATGGCCATTGTCATTATTAATGTGAAGTTGAATTTCACCGTGCTGGTTCTGCTTTTTCTGCCTTTTAAAATGGGACTCTTTTAAACCCAGTGTTATTTATAGATCTGTGTATGTGGGGTATGAAAGTTTCACTACCCAAGTGTAACACAACTGCTATATTTTAGAATAAAGAAATGAAACAGTTGTTGCCTGTTAAATATAACACCTTTTTCATTTAGGAAACATCGTCTGTTGCTCCTGCAGAAGTTAATTGTGCAACTAGAATATTACTTACACTTCTATTTCACAGCATTTCTTCTTGTCTTGTCTTTAAAATCCCACTCACAGTGACGCATGTGATGATTGTGATCACTTATCTCTAAGTCAGGAGTCCAAGCAGACCTTGGGCCAGTAGTGACTCTGCACACTGACATGTCAAGATTTATCACTGATGCAAATGCACAATCCCGCTCCAATGGCCCCATGTCCACATTACAAGTGCCATCGTTACTGACAGATGTTTGAGGCTTGGCCTCAGCGGTTCCAGATGCAGCCACCTCACACCCCAAACTCACATTCAAGACTGCTCTGGGGATCCAGAGCTGCAACCTTTCTTTTGATGCTTCACTACTGCAGACCTACACACCTGGTATATCGGCACCCTTCATATGATCTTTAAATGGAAATATAAACTTCTGCCTTTCATATCACCTACCTTTTCTTAGCTTGTGAAGTTTTCTCATGTAGTCCAAGATAGATCAGATTCCATTTCTATCTGCTCCTCCTAATGTTTCTAGCTTGGCAATAGGATTGCTTCCAGGTAGTCATAAAATCTAGCTGTGAGTCCTCCTGCCAGCCCAAGTATTTCAACTCAGCACAGCCAGCAGTGGTTCAGATTTCCATTTTTTACATTCTTCAGTAAACCTGCCTCCTGTGGATTTTTGCTTCTAATGTTTGTTTACTTCACAGCTTATAAACAGCCTAGGTCTGATTCACAGTTCCCCTAAGACTGGTTCACACTGGAAGGTAAAGGGAAGTTAAAGTGCCAGAGGCCCTGAGCATAACAGATAATTCAGGCTTTCATCAGAGCATCCTTTGAGTCAAAGCTTTCCAGCTCAGCTGTCTGATGAAACAAGATTGTCCTGTAACATAACTTCATATTCAACAACAATGTTTCCAGAGGTCTAACAACCCTGCTCCCTAACAGATGATGTTCATTACCACAGCAAAAATCTATGTATTGCTTTCATCTAGTACATCTTCTCTAGTCCCATTTTCTTTCACAGAAATAATGTGTGGGGATAGTTAGAGTGCATGCATTAGTTTGATTTAATTTCAGAAAATATTTCACTTATTATGGTGATAGCAGCCAGGATAAACCTTCAGAAATATTTTTAGATGTCAGAAATAGGACATACATTATGGAGAGAAGTGTGAGAGTGGGAGGGGAAAATGGATGCTTAAAAACAATGAAGAGTCTGCTGCCTCCCATATGATATAATTTATGTTTGATTTTAAACTGGAGTTCATAAGAATTAACAGAAATCACTTAATAAGCAAACAGTGTACACATTATTACTGTTCTTGTCTTTGTAAGACTTTCCATGCCACTCTAGAGCCTGTTTGTGCTGAGGAGGACAGGACTGTAACATAATGATGGCATGTAATTCTTAATTTTCTTTTTGTCTTTGATGTGTTTTTCATAAATCTTAAGGACTTTGCTGCTGCATTCATTTGATTTAATTCTTCCCATGTTGATAAGCGAGGAAATGAGACCAACAGACGCCCACACTTGAGGGCAGAGCTCTCCCTGAACTGGAGTATTTCCTGCTGTGGCCACTCCCTTCTTTATATGTGCCAGTGGAAAACTTCTAAACAAACTTTTGGGCTGTTTTTTTGATGTTGATTTTGTTTTGTTTTGTTTTAATTTATGGAGGCAACATTTCAATCTTTAGCAGGCAATTTACAAGCAAAGAGACATCATGTAGTTTAAGAGTCAACTTCAGCTACTGTTCTCTTAAGCAAAACTTCTTACATGTGGTTGACAGGCTATCTTAATCCTTGGTTTGTAGGTATAACCTTGCATCTCAGTTTGTTAAGCCAGCAAGCAGCTTTTGACCTGGTTTCCCTTCTTTGTTGGAGGTAGGTGTTACAGTAACATGATACAGCAACTACATTTTTAAAAACAAAATCCAAGGTCAGATGGCTGTCACCCAAGGTCAGAAGGAAAGAGATTCAAATGGCCCTTGACCACCAAGGAAGAAAACCTAAGGGTTAAATGTTCAAATTACACAAACCTTGGCAGGAGGGATTTTATTGTTCTTGTTCTGTTTTCATAGGGAACACAGTATTTCTGTGAGAACTGAACTTCTCATATCTTTCAGAGCACGTTGCTCGTATTTTTGATAGAGAAATCAGTTGGAATCTTCAGCCACCCAAACCCAAATTAGCAGTTTATCTTCAATTTGTCTCATTTCTCAGTCTGCAGACTGAACTTTAACACATGCAGTCAGTCAGTGCAATAAGAAACACAAAACAAGCCAGCAAGGATCTCTTGAGGTCATTGGAGAAAAAATTCTTTGCGAGAAGCTTGCCAAGAAATCAACAACACCAGAAGAAAAGAAGAAGCACAGCTGAGTGCTCTCACAAGTAGCCTAGCAGAGCAAGGTATTTAGACTCCAAGAGTCCACAAAAATAAAAATTAATTTTAGCTAGAATTTTGCTTAATCTTTGCAGGTGACATGTAACCTGTATATAAGGGGGAGAGGCAGTTAAAAATTTGGAGACTAACTAGAGCCTTTTGTTCTACCAGCACAAGCTAGAAAACAAGCAGGCTGAAAACACCAAGCAGCAGAAAGTGTCAAAAGCATGATAAACCAAAGCAAGTTCCTACAAGCACTTGTCAGAAGGGAGCAAGGAGCCTAAAATGAGTTGCTTTGGCCTGGGGAGAGGTAGGGAGAGATACAATGATTCAGTGCTTTTCTCCCAGACACCGTCCCCACGGCTAAGCGGAAGCAGTTTGGATCCTGCCCTCCTGTATAATGGATAGTCCCCCAGCAGGCAGGATGGCTTGCCTGAGGCCAGGCAGTCTGTGCCACTAAATGGGAGACAATCTGTTGAATGGAGTGAGAACAAATAGATATAACTCTCTTGCAGTGAAAAGCGGCAATTGAAAGGAGACATGGGAGAAATCCTTTCAATTTGATATAGTGACTATTCATTACTCTTCACAGAATGGGAAGTAAGGGACACAGGTGGCATAATGAAGCTCCAGGTTTTAGAAGGAAACAAAAAGTGGCCCTTTGTCCCGAGTGCACAAAGTGACACTGTGGAACTTGTTGCCACAGGATGGTGGGGCTGCCACCAGAGTTTAAAAAGAGATTAAACCAATGCAAAGAGAATGGGGCACACTGACCTGGATGCTTCACCTAAACTCATGATTTTCAGAAGCTAGAAAAACAGCAGAAAAAATTTGTGGTTTTACTTTCCCCTTTGCTCCACCATTGTTCCCTGCTACTTTCTGCTGGAGCACATAATTCAGGACTGAGAATGTTCTTCCATACAAACCAATATAAAAGGTTTCACGTATTCGTGTCTACCTTATTTATCAACTAAAATCTCAACTTCATTAGCTCACTATATGGGTAGAAACTACTCTGAATTTCTAAGTAACTACAAATATTGCTGACTGGTTTGCATTACTTGAAAAGTCTGGTCTCAGGAATGTGGGATCATGGAAAATATAAGATTATAAGGTCAGGGAAACTGGCATATCTAGAAAGTGGCAGTCAGTAAGAGGATAAAAGATGCAAACCAACAAAAATGCAACCATGTGTCATGAACAGCAAATCTCTTTCTGGCCCCAACCAGTGATCAGTTTATCCATGCAGTTTATGCAGTAGCTACTACTCCTAGAATTTTTAAAGTATTTGATGTAAGTTGAAAAACCATCCTGGTATGTGAACTACTGCAGAGTGTCCAAAATACAATTTTTAGACAAAGGAGCCACTGTCTAATGAAATTGATTTATCCTCATTTTGAGAGGACAGATAAATGTACAGTCCAGCTGAAATATTTTATAAAGATATTTTTTGTGATTTTGTTGTTGTTGTTGTGTTGCTTTTTAAAGATGTGCAAATACATTGTTTCAGAACAAAAGGAAAGACTGGTCTACAAACCCATGGGAGTCAAAAGTGCAATGGAAATCTTCCATTGCCTTTCACTATAATGAAAAGGACCCAGAATTTTCAAGGTAGGAAGCAAGATGAGGAATCCACAGATGTGGACTCTCCACAGATTTTTACCTGAAGTTGCTTTTTCTTCTAGAAACAAAATGAAGAGTTGGGGGTTTTTGTTATAGTTTAATCACCAGAAAAGATTAAGCGTGTTATTTAAAAGTGTAGTCTGATAGGCTATTTTGGGAATCTGCCAGTATCTAGTGTATAAACAAATCTGGTGCACTCAAAATCTTCAAAAGGGTGTTTTTACTGTTTTTACTCTCAATGCATTCAGTTAGTTAGAGCCCAGGAAGCACATATCTTAGAGGGAAACGAAGGAAGTAATATCTTTCCAACAGATCCTGACCTGTGTCTACATATTTTCAGGGTATTGTAAGAAGCTGCCCTTACAAAGCCAAATACTGACCTTTTAATCTCCCACAACTTCCCAGGAGGAAAAGAGCTTCTCTCTGCTTTAATAATGGTCAGAGCTGTCATTCTCCCCCGCAAAAGGAACAAGCACAGCAAAAGAAACAAGCAAACATTCTCTGCTTACATGAGTGTCTTGTATTTGAATTTCCTGCTCCTGAGCTGTCTCCATAAACAAATTCCTTGCAGAAGCAGACACAAGGAGTGGGTCTGGCAGTGTGTGAGTTTCACTTACATGTGCTGTGAAGCGTTGGGGTAGAGCTCTGAGAACTGTGGTGCAGAATCCTCGGGGCCATGGGGTGCAGCGTGGCTGATGACCATCATTATGGGCCTATGGGGATATATCCTCTTAGACATTCTGAAGTAATTAATGCTCTCATTAGTGATTAGGTCTGTGAAGTAGTCCTGGAACATACGATTAACACAAAGCAAAAGTTACAAAGTGCATGATTAATTAGATCACATACTATCATGTTATTATGTTATTTTTCAAGTCCTCATTAAAGCTCAGATCAGGAAGTAAAAGCATACCATCAAAGAGATGTATGATTTGAGGGAGCATAGGGGAGACTGAGCAGTAATTACTTTCTTAAGCAGGCAATGCCACATAAAATGAGACAGTATTTTGCAAATCAGATACAACACAAAGTATAAAGTAAATTTGATTACCAGATTTGGTAATATAATACTAAGTAACATTTAAAATCACAGACTGTACTGACAAAGATATGTTTCTAAAATTTCATTGATAAAACACCTTACAAGGTAATGGCTCCCAAATAACATTGAATCTTAATCTGGTTTTATGTTTACATAAACCTTTATTGCACATTCTGTGTTCAGATTATACTTTTGCATATGTACAAAGTGGAAGACAGCTACAACAGGCAACAGATTGCAAAAAATCTTAATCAAAGACATTGCAAATGAGAATGCGGGGAGCAGTTGAATTCCTGCGGGCTCTGTTCATTTAATTGTGCAACTTTAAGCAGTGCAGCTGCTGAGATTAAGGTTGTGACTTGCTAATAAACTGGCTTAACCCACAGCTAAGGTGGCAAATGGAAGCCTACAAGGAAAAGGGAGGAAATGGAACTAAGAAAAAAAGATGAAAACTTAAATTAAACCACCTGCCACCTTGGAGTATTCACTGTTGGCCTGGAGGTCTAGCTCGTGCTTCATTGAGAAAGTGCTGAGACAATGTTTGTAATTTCAAGCACTTCCAGGCATGACTAATCTTATGTTGTGGATTCGAGGCCCTGAACAGCTGCAAAAGCAGAGCCTGAGGGACAAGGTCTGTGTCCATGTCAGTGCTAGGACAAGGCAACCAGCTGTGACCTCCTCGCTCACCCGCTCCCTGTTCCCTGCCCCTGCCCCTCTCCTGCAGCACGCTTGGAACATGCACAGTAGCCCTGGCTGCTACAAAACCTGCAAGCATATGGATGAGACAGTGAGTGATCCTTCAGTTTCCAAAATGGATAATGAGTGTGAGGTACCAGGGCTGTGATAATTTCTGGGTTTGTGTCCTGAGTGAAATGCCTGACTGCTCTCCCAAAGCATCTACTCCCCCCTGTTTCTCTGTTTATTCTAGCTACATACACAGGGAGTGTAAGGAATGTATAACTAACCAGTATTCTATATTTCCTTTTTTTTTTTACTCTGCATAAATATATAATCAGTATAATGTAATTTCTATGGATGGGAAAATCAGAAACAGGCATCGCTAGTTTCCAATAAAAACTCATTACATGGGTCAGAAACCGCAGCTGCAACATCTGTATCATCTTCCTTGAGCTGCAATTTGAGGAAATTCCAGATTGCTTTCTGCAGGCTGGTCTGTCTGAGATCTGCCCTCCTAAGCCTTTCCAAGAAACTTCATGGCAGTGGGCAGGTCCCTTTGGCATACTTTCCACACTTTGTCAAGAGCACAAACAAGCTCTGAACTTTTCCAACGGCCGTGTTCTTGCCCTTATCTACTCTCATACTCATATCCGGAGTCTGACACCACAGGCATACAGCCTTTCTTTGGTGTGCACTCTATAATGGAAAACAACATTAACCAAGGCTCTTCTGTGGGTAACAATGACAACCCTCAGCAAACTTTAAAGTTCAGTAGCGCAAGGGACACAATTCTTTTTGGGAAAGGCTTTTATTTACTGTTTGCTTCTGCCACCAAAGCATCACATTCTGTCAGGGAGAGAGAGGGAGGGAGGGGAGGAAGGAGGGAGGCATCACCAGGCTCCACTGAAGAGGTTTGGGAGCATTGTTCTGTTGAGTGATTAATATTCTCAGGTGGAAATTGATCTGAAATGCCCTGGAGATAAAATGACATCTCAATTTCATGGTTGTAGTTGTTTAATCAATTAATTATCTGGTTAATTAATTATCTGAAAGTTATTTTTATATGGATTAATCATGTGGCATTTATGTGTCTGGAAAATACCTTTGCATAATCAAATCCGTGCTTCTCTTTGTTACCATTGCGAGAAATGGTGTAATTATAGAAGCGAGAGTTCTTCACTAATCCAACCCACTCTCTCCACCCAGGAGGGATGTAGCTGCCATTGTATTCATTGAGGTATTTCCCAAAAAAAGCTGTGAAGTAAAAAAAAAAAAGAACACACACACACACACATGAGGCTTTGCAATCGAAGTCTTTTAGTCTGAGTCAAAAGAACATATGAATGAAGAGAAAATGTGTTAGAATGAGTCAGAGTTGCTTTACCAAAAATCTTCCTTTTATAGCTTAGAGGGTTTTGAAATTAAAGTAAGTTATTTCCAGACTTTTATGAGAGTTGAAAGCCTTCGTGACTCTATGTTTTATTCTTAATCTTTTGGAATCTAGTGATCATGTGAAATATTTTCAGGGTTTCTTTTAGAAAGAATATGTTCCTCTTGGTTTCCACTTGAATATGAAATAAAAGCTCAGTGCCCAGAGGAAACATCTGAGAAATACCTTGTGGTTTTAAGCAAGTCCTGTGATGTTTCAGAGCTTGGCTTCTGACTTTTTGAAAGTTCAGGCTTGCTATCCTGGCTGCATTGGCTGGTTTGATAAAAGGTCTGGGAAGTACAGATCTGTACCCCATTAGGACATGTTCGGGTAGATCAGGAAGGGATCCACACCCTGCTTTGCTGCCACATCATCTCTAAGGCAAAACTTACAAAGAGGCAAAGTCTTCGAGGTCAAAATCCTCTACCTGGCCTGCCAAATTCCACGTATGTTTTCCCCTTAGCTCAAGTTTACAAGTCAGAACCCACTCAGACTGAAAATTTCAGCCTCTGCCGTAGGTTTTTAGGTGCTCCTGCCAATTCCTCTGCAAGGAAGTGGGAAGCAATGCAGTCTCACAATGCAGCGGGCTCCCAGCTATCTGGGAGTTGTGGATTGCCTGTGGCAAAGATACACAGACACCAAAAGCCAGCCAGCTGCCCTTGGAAGGGAGCATTAATGCTGGCTTGGGACCCTGGCAAATGCAGCTACTTGGCTTCTAGGGAAAGAAGGGCATGGGACGTCTTTAGCTGCTTGTGTATGCTCTGTGACCTGGACAGAGTAGTCAGTTTGGATGGGTCCATTCTGCTTTTCCACTGCCTGGGGACTGCAGTGACAAAACACCTGATCAGGTCTGCAGGTTTTTTGGGATTTACTATCTCCAGTTCAATCCCAGTGACCTACTGGGGTGCCTCAGTATTTTCACTGTTCCCCTTTTTAATTGTCTTGAGGTTTACAAGCCCCTGGAGGGTCACTTGTGCCAGCAGTTCTGCTGCCTGTGTCTCCAGCAGTCTCCACACTTGTGGTGCTCACAAAATCAGACACCACTGAGGAGGAGGGAATGACAGAGACCTCTCCCTTTTCAGGGACAGAGCTCTTCACAGCTGTCCCTGCATCCCTCACAGTGCCCAGCCCCTGTCCTTGGTGCCAGCCCTGACTCATCAGTCAGGCCTGTCTGCAGAGAGCTGCTGCCCAGAGATGCTGTCCCTCAGCTGGGCAGTGGGACATACCTTGAATCCCTGTGCTTGTTTCCTACTAGGAAATGAAGTCACATTGGAAAGCCTCACATCCAACCTAGACACATTCAATTTAACCAAAAAAAGCACATTTGTGGAAGGGCTAAAATAACTCAGATCTGATTGATGTGGGCATGATGAACTTCTTGGGAAAACTGGTGGAAAAATCAAAATGTTCATAATTAGGACTTGTCTGAGGCAAAATAAATATGATGCAATTCAGTCAGGGAACTGCCAAATGCCAAATGTAACCAGAGATTACAGTCATATATAATGTTACTTTCTGTACCACATGGAATGTGACATATAAACAAGTCCTGCAGACACTAGACCAGGCTTCCAGCTCTTCTTCCCCCAGCCACCAAGAAAGCAATCCAACCTGTCTCCTTTTTTATCCTGAGGCCTACCAGAAATCAAGAACTGTGAGGTGAAGAGGGTGACAGTGGGCAGGGAATACGTGCCTAGCACAGTTGTCTCCTGGAATGGAAACCATACCTCTCATTTAAGGCAGCCAAACTGGTTTAAACTCTCAGTCAGATATCATGGGAAAGTCTTTATATGGGTAAAGGCTGAAATTCTGTGAGAAGGGAAACCAAGGAAAAAGGAGAAGGGAAAGAGAAGTCAGAGAGAGACAACAGTGAAGAAAATACGGGAGACTGATGTAACTGAGGGAGAGGAAGCATCGTTGAGCTGAGTAAAACCAAAGGCAGTCGTGGTTACAGGGGAAATCTGAGGTCAGTCCTTCTTAGTGCCATCCCAGGCCTACCAGCAGCTTCTGTACGATTTTGGGGAACCTCTATGTGCTGTGCTCACCAGTAAAGGGCTCTACTGTCAACCTGTCTCTCACAAATATCAGAGGCTTTCAAACTGTGCAATGGAAGCTATGACAATTTATCATATAGGATGGTTGGACTGCCCCATGTATTATGAGATTGACTCACTTGGAGACCTGGACTCTGCTATTTACAGTCCTGCCAAACTTAAATCATTAGTGATTTAAGTGATAGTTTCCATGCTGACTCAGGCTGTATTTTGCTCTATGGAACCTTTTAGCCAAACAGTTCAGTAATTTCCAAGAAAAAGACTGGGGAAAAAGAAATGGGTTCACCCATTTAAAAATAATTGTCAAACTTTAGTATATGAAGTTTTAGTGTCTGGAGGTTTTGATGTAGGGCCTTTATAAATAACAGAGGTGGCTATGAAAATCTTTCTCAAAATGACCAAGCTCAGAAAAACTGTAGCACACAGATGATTACTCCACCTTCTCAATTTAGCATCACAATGGAGTGTTCCTTTATGGATTTGAGAATGTTCCCAGAATTTAATTTGTGGCATAAAAAAAAGCCACCAGCTTCCCTCACTCCTGACTCTCTCTTTTGGTATTCATTACCTGAGAGAAAGCCACCAGCATAAAATGAAGAGATGAAATGACCTGGGGCATAAGGACAAGAATAGATAAACTGAATTTGGAAAAGAAAGGATGGCTTGGAGCTGGGGAGGGCCAATTCATCTTGGAGTTTCCTTGCTTTAGATTACTTAATTTTCTAACTTTAATAATGTTTTGTTAGAAACCTTTTGGCCCACTGAACCCCATATTTCAGTTCATGTTATGAGACCTCAGATTGACAGCCTGAACCATTCACCTTTGTGTTGGCAATGATTTAGTATTTTATCATAAAAATAATCTCAGCACTGTCAAATTTTAAGCAGCTCCATGAGTGACAGTTTGCAGAAATAGATGTTTCCCCCGTTGCTGTGTAAATCAATTGCCATGTCAAATGTGTAGCAAAGACCTGAATACTAGAAGAAACAGTGGCTGTGACCATGGATCATATTTGCCAAAATGCTTTAACCAAAAATGGTTTATTGGTCATAAACTCAAGAGGATATGAGTAATTAGACAGATGAAGGGAAAAGCCAGGCTTTTACTGAAATACAAGCATTCAGTCCTTGCACCGTGTGGTCTTTTGAGTACTACTGAGAATAGGACAGGGCAAGTGGGTCAGAACTGGGGTCCAGCACCATCAGTTAGTGTCTGGCCCTTCTTGAATGAAGAAGTGTCTGCCCCTTCAGGCTCTGAATGAAGACAAGTGCCAGAGTAAAAGGAAAGTGCAGTGTCCATGGGACCAAATAGCCATCAGCAAGTAATCACTATGGGTGTCCCGGTTGTTTTTTGTTTAACCAGAGGATTGTTAAAGAGTAAAGCACTATGGAATATGTCAAAGAACTGCTCAGGAACTGACACTGTGATGTGCAGATGTCTTTGCTGGGTCTTCACATGCTTGGCTTGTAGAGTCACCCCCCATCTTTAACTTAGCTGTAGCCCAATACTTGCTGAATTGTCCAAGTCTCAGAACTGACTGGGAAGCCTCAGCTTCAGAAGCTGTTTGGACTCAGCAGTTTGGGTTTAGGAAGGGTTTAGGAAGCCATTTCTGCTTGTAATTAGTAAAATGGAGATTATGACGCAGTGGGTAAAAGCCTCATTAAAAAGTAATGCCATTTCAAGGGACATCTTTTCATTATTATGTGTAACAGCCCCCATAGGGATAGCAGCAAAGATAAATGCTTACTTTTGCATTTTAATAAGACAATTTTTATCAGCATTCTGGCAGTTTTGCTAACTGTTCCCAGGGCACATTGTTATTTTCTAATCACGTGTAGTGTAGCTTTGTATATCAGAATAATTGTATTCTGTATTAGTATGTTCAATTATGTTTATGCAAACAACAACACATGGCACAGTGAACAGTTTTACAGACATCTCTGTGTCTCTGGAGGGGCTGCAGAATACACGTCTGGTACCTGACATGAACAGATGCCTTAAGACAAAGTTTTGTTTTCCCTTTTACAATTAGCTAATGATTTCTGTATTGGACTGAGAGATCCAGAGGGTTGCAAAGGGTGCAAGACAAATATAATTTGATCCAGGGGATCTCTAATGCTTACAGCTGAGTGTGATTCAAATTCTCATAATTCCCAGGACTTCTTTTCCCAGCACTTTTTACAAGCAATTATGACTAATGTTTACAGTGTTACACAATAGAGTTAGTCCTCTAACTCTTGTCAGCATTAGTAGATTAGTGCACAGGTGAACTGGGCTACACCTACTAGTGAGACATCCCTGCACTTCCATGGATCAAAGGACATATATTATGTTCTACACTCTTGTTATTTGTTGAGGCTTATGGGAACGTTTCCGAGTTAAAACAAATGCAAACCTTTAAAAAGCCACACTGCAGAAAGGTTTAGTCACCGTGACCCAGACAAGAGCTTTAAGTAGACAGCCCACTTCCTTTAACAAAGTCAGGAAACCATTCAAGGAGTGGCAGGGCACTGTTTATATGACATTTCAGGACTCAAACAGTGATCCTATGGTTCTGTGGACAGAACCCAACTTAACTTCAGCTTTGGAATCATTGCAGTAAATTCCTTCTTGCTGTCTTCCCATTATGCAAGCCATAGATTCAAACCCTAGAAGTTTATTTTTTCCCTTCTGTTGAAAAATTGCAGAGGATTAGTGTATCACGTCACTGGAGCCAGCTCAATATGCCAGCACTGGCTAGGAAATGAAATAAGCATTGTCCCAAAATATG